ATCCAAAGGGAAGTGGGAGTGCACTAGAGACGATTTTCGAAGTGTCTTCGTGCCAATTAACCACATTTGGAAATCGAATTCTGCCGGATAGATCCGTCAAATGACAGTAACAGCAATACTGAGCAGCAGCAGGAGTTGCAACAACAGGAACTATTGTCTACAACTGTCTATTCTGGTCTTTCGGAATTCCACCCAACTCAATTTTTAGTCTCCCCGTACAGTCAACCCTTGTTTTAGCGGACACGCTCGGGAAGTTTGTCGGCACCGCCTTTGAGTTCTTTTGGCTATAGCGTGAGTCCGCAATAGCGGGATAGATGGTTGTGAAGTGTCACATATAACAGATATAACTTTTACTGCTCTATGCTCTTTTATATTTAATGGTAAAATAGACTATATTATAGTTTTTGAGACACAGTGTACAAACTAGTAAACATTCCAAGACTGCAGAATAATTATGTCATTCAATACGTCCAAGTCTGTTGTGACGAAAAGCGAACAATGAAATTAGTTGGGATCACATGAAGTGTGCGCAATTTCTTAATAGCGGGAGTTGTTTCCATACGTTTCTTTGTAGTTTTGGCCGGGGATGTAGCTTTTGTCGGTAATAGCGGGGTGTCATTTAGGCGAGTAATGACTGCATTCCCTTTCGCGTCTGAGAAACTCTATATTCTCTGATAATCTAACCGATAGAAATCTAACCTTGATTAATCGATTAATTTTATTCTTTACGAGTCATGAATTCCGAACAAGGGAGGGGGTGAATTATTTAGTAGTTTATCGTCTTTATCGATGAACTGCATAAGTGGTGTAGCTAAAAGAGTGTGCATAGTATTTCAGATCAGGCGACGCGCATCAACTTTCCTCAAAGTTTACGTAAGAACGCAGCATTTCATGATTATAATTATATCAATACAGGAAGCAGCTCGCTCAGAAGCAGTCGAGGCAAACAGGCCTCTCTCATTAAACGGCCCATTTCCGGTTATCGAACGCCCGATAAACTGCGGGGTGGTCCTTAGATTGATATGAAAAGTTAGAAGTAACTTACAAATGGCACGCAACGCATGCAGAAGCGATGACGTTTATAATGTGGGCATTCCAAAACAAACTAACGGATGAATAAGGTAAATAAAAGTAAGTAAAATTGGTACAGAATGTGCGTGGAGTGAGTAGAATTGGCAAGACTAAACAGTTCTTGATATCGGGTCATCATTCTCTTTCTTTTTCCGGTACAAAAAAAAAGGCACCGATCTCTGCAATTTCCTACGTGGTTCGATATCAAATACTCCTTGTCAATCAAATGTCACTGTAATGAAGCTCACGCTGTCCATCACGCGACGACTCCTTCTAGAGGTCAGAATTTTACTTCTGCATACATTTAATGTTGCTGCAACCTCGAGAAGCTGCATCTTAGGCGCCAGCGTTAGATTTCGATTGGATTGCTCGGATGTGAACCAACTCTGATGCAAATCTGTTCACCTTTGGGCCTAGTGGTCGTGTTCGTTTACAGTTTCAAGGTGAATCGTACTAGCATTTTGGTTGGAGGCCAAAGACAGTGAAATAGTGTCAGGTTTGGTAGTGGAGACGCGCTAAATGTAGAACGACATCTTGTGAGGCAATCTTCAGGAAGATGAATGAGGATCACGATAAACCTTTTAAGGTGATCGTTTTCGGCGACGCAGGAGTTGGGAAGTCCGGTAAGACTATAACGTACTGAAATAATTCACTTCTGTGATCTGTAGCGTTGTTGAATCGAGGCAGCGATCAGCTGATTCGAAATTATCCCCAAAACAGTGGACTTTCGCGAAATGTTGGTATTAAAACTTCTGCTAATACAAGGCATACAATTTTTTTATGGATACTCTGGTAGCACTACATGGTCCTACATCTGAACCAGTTCGTTGTCAAGTAGGAAGACTGCATGATAACCTGTCATGTAAACTATGCAACACGTTCACCACAGATTACGATCACTTCAACTTTGTTTGCATGCACGCAATGTTCTTGTTTAGAGCTACAATCGAGATACGCGTTGCCATTTAAAAAATCCCTGAGCACGGTTATGTTCAGTCAGTTAATCCCTTCATTCTCAAGAATGAGGGTACTTTGCTTTTATTTTCGCATCTGATATTATCACACCGTCAATCGAACAGGAGGCCATTCATTCGGTGTCACTGAACTTGATGTAATTCTTCTTATGTAGCGCTAAATTCTCCAAAGTATGAATGAGAGAAATAAGCAAAAATCAATAAGGAGATTTCAAATTGCGAGCTCTGGGTCGGATTTGTTTTGACAGCACCAGACATCTGTTTGATTGACGGGTCTAATATAGGCCCAGCTAGAGAGTCACGCGACTCGGAAGTTCTTGCCAACGAAAATAAAAACGTCTCACGTATAATTTTGTCGAGTTCGGGATCTTTCACGCGATGGCCACAAAACTACACTTTTCGAGACAAAATCAAACTCAATTTTAGTTTTGCGGTTCATTGTTGTTAGTAAATCACGGTTCGAGGCTATTTGGTGGATCACACTTCACAACGATCATTTTCACGTTTCACCGAAGAACTGTCAAGTCACGGTTCATGAAAAGGAAATTCGAGGAAATACTATCTTATCATAAACTATGTTTTCAGTAGAACCCATGAACTGAATCATTTGCTTAATGGTTCTGGTCATGCCAACATTATGCTAGGATTTACGAATCTCAGTTATGCTATCTGATTTAATACAGATGTAACCTTCTGTAACCCTGAAACCTTTTCGGATAATCTTTGACGCCAGGCACGAACGTATAATATGTTGCCCTGGAGTGGTTCGCTGTGTTGAACAGAAAACTGAAAGTGATAAGACGGCCATTGACGGAAGTTCTTCAACTCTGTATTCTGGGCATCGCGCTAACAAGCCAAACCACGCTAAAAATGATTCGTTTAAACTTTGTAGCATATTTAGTCATTTTAATCTAAGCAAACAAATGCTAGCAAGAGACTCATTGTCAATAACATATATCAGTTTATTTTTGATGACCTGTAAACTTTCAGCTCACTGTGGAGACCAGGGGCTCAACCTACAACAGCAGTCGCGGATCTGGGATAAATGGTGACTGATTTCTCGAGACAACAAGCGACAAGCTCCTAAAGGGGACGGCCCAGGACCATCCCCCCCTAAAGTCCCTTTTCCTGGGTTTCTGGGTTATTCTGAAAAACCTGACCGATTTCCGTCAATTGATGGAAACCGTTTTGGATAAGCGGAGGGTGCGTCAGATATATGTTGCAAACAGTTCAGGGAAATCAGCCTCAAATGCCTGGAATCTTAAGCTCAAGCACAAGCATAACGGTAGTGAGGACGCCCACAACAGGAACATAAACACGTATACATGCGCAGAATCGATATTAATGCCTTATTTTCAATTCCATACTTCCTCGATGAAGTAAAACAGGATAAAATGCGAGGTTATGCTTATGCTTATGCTCACAACACTTGACATGATATTGGCATAAGCGTTAAGGACAAGCCTAAGAGGAACAAAAACCTTTGTTCTGCTTGTGCTTATGCCTTTGTTATGCACGTCCTCACTACTGACTAAACAGTGATGTTGTGCTTATGTTTGTGCTGTGGGAGTCCCCAATAGCGATATATGCCTTTGCTAAGCGAAATCCAGGCCTAAATGTCCGAGAAATATTGTTGATTATGCCGAGTGGAAAATCCAAAACTGGTTTTGCTTGTTTCACGTTATTTTGATTACACTGTACAACCACGCAGGAAAAGGTGTCCGCTTTGAGTCCTATTTTGGGAAGCAAATTGATTGGGTTTGGCTAGTGAAATACAACACCAATCCCGTAGGGTTTGGTCCACTGAACTCCATAAGTGTGGTACGTGTAGAAGGCCCACGTGCTGAGAGAACACAACATTGGCTTTAGAGTACCGTCGCGACGTTGGTGCATTTACAACGACGAAATTTTTGAATGAAATTCAGTGTATTTTTTCAGTATAACATCTTGTGCAATTCAACTGATTTGTTGTAATGGCATGTACCACAATAGTGTCCGAGTTCTTCGACTTTAAATCTTTAAGTGACCTAACTCTTTTATCCAATTTGTAAAGAGCACTTGAGCTGTGCAAACATTGCGTTTATATACGATAAACGCCGACCTTTCCAAGAGTTCACAAAAGCTTGGAAGTTGAAAATATATTCGTTGTAACTCGCTTACACCCTATTTTATCACGAAGACAAAAATAACAACAACAAAAACATTAACAACAAACATATTGATTTGCGGAAATGTAGTGCCCTTTTTAGGACGTTTCGAATGACCGTAAGCTATTTTAGTACTTTTAGTGAAAATATATAAAACAGGGGAACATAATATTAATGCAACATTCATTATTGGCATGCTTCAACCCCATGATGAGGTAAATGACATGTAATTTAGTTATGAAATGTCTGGCTGCCTTGTAGTCAATAATCGTCAAATGTTCCAAGTTCGCTTCAAGTCAAGTCTGTTTAAACGACTCAAGAATAAAAGCTCTTTCAAATAGAACGGCAGGTAACTTATAACAGATTATTTCCAGCACCCAGATTCAGTTCTTATAAAAGAAACCCTTGAAATCAGTCTCGAACACGTTCGGTTTACGCTAAAACCTCGATACATGAAAACCATATTTCAATTAAAACAGCTGCATTCAGACCTATTCACGAAATAATCTTAATTGGACAACACTAGCAAGCATTTTTGGCGACAATTTCTCCCAGTCACCAGCCGTGCCAAGTGAAAAACAGCGATTGTTTCAAAGCAATAAAATAGGAAACTACTATGCAAGACAAAAATAGGAGAAGCACAGTGCAAAAACGACACAAAAGTGTGAACTTACGGTAAAATCAGTCCATACACTGGGAGACATTTCTTCAGTTCCCGCCGAAAACAATATTGTTGTCTACTGCTTATCGTTTCAATCGATCCATAAAGAGTGAAATTACGCACTGGCTGGGCAATAAACACAAAAACCCGCTTGTTGCCCAAAGCCAGAACTTATATTAGAAATCGAATACTGTTTTTGAATGGCGTCATTGCCATTTTCAGAAAGTGTTTGCTGACGTTGTATATAGTAAATGTTTAGATTACCAAGTTGTACAGACAGTGTCTGAAATCTTTCAGCGTCAATTGACCAAATTAGCTTTTTAAAATTACTCAAAGCGACGTTTGCTAAATGCTATTAAAGTACAACTAAATGTTTGCGTATTACCTGTTGATGTTTCTGTCTTCGAATTCAGGTGTCTATCCGTTCCTTCAAGTCAACATGAACCTTCTACGACTCAATTTCCACAATGAGTTGATTAGGGTTCTTGAATTTGTCTTTCTCAGTCCAATGCTTGCCCCAAGGACCCTAAGTCTGATGATGCCAGCAGGGTGAATAGAGAATTTCATATCGAGTTCTTCGGTTAACCGCAGTCATGGAATGAACGAAAAACAAAAGGATGCTTTGTAATTTGTTTTAAATCAAGAACGGATTAAATGGAATCATCAGTTTGCTGGTTATAATCCTAGTTGGTCCTGGTTGACCCTTGCATCATGGCGCGGTACAGTAATTTCTAATTTGTAAGTTAACTGGTGTCATCAACGACGTCTATAAGTTTGTTATGTAGAGTCTGGCATAAACTCGTGTTTGGCTTCTCTTCAAGTTGTATCGTCGCCTATTTTGGATAATAAATTTGTTCTTAGTCCAAACTAATCAATCTTGTCGATATGATGCGACTAGAGTATTCTAATACTCGCCACGCACAGGATAAACACCCACTCTTTAATACACCCTGTCTCGAAATACCCATGGCTGATGGAAAGAAATTTTTTTAATCCTCTTACAGAATCACTGTACTGATAGCATTGAGAAGTTGTGAAGTGCATAACCGGTTTTGTAGTTTACAAGTACTCACACAGCATGATTTCACATCATGTTTAAAACGTGATAAATCACATCATCATAAGGTTTTATCCATGCAAATCTCTTCCTGTAATCGAAATGATATACATGTAAATAAACATAAACAGGAAACTCGATAATCGTAACTTTTTTTATCCGTAGACATCTGCTTTCCGAGATAAGTGCATGGCATAGGTTATAATCAAACGCACTGCCAGAAAATCTGTTCGTTCGTCCTATTAGAGCTCGTGTTCTTGGCAGATGATTAAGCAATAAAGTGACTCTTAGAAGTGAAGAAAAGTTTTAAACTGTTAAAACAGTTTAGTTATTAGATATGTCTCGAACATTTAGCAGCCATTTTGGGAACCATAAATTATTATCTGTCAAATCAAATTTATCTGATTAAGTGTCGGTATGCTTTTATGACTGTCATTCATCTTAGCTTTTATCAGAGGTAATTGCACATTTCAGCAACTGGGAATACTTTCTGAAATAAAAATTAACGTCTTGAACCTTTTCCGAGAAACTATTTTTCGTTACTATATATAATCTCACCCACGATTTGATTCGAAGAAGTAGTTAAGACAGTTAACCACAAAGATATTGGTTTTGCGGTGGTTTTACTGATCATCTCCATACTCAGTACTGGAAGGTTCCCTTCGAGAATTTTATTTCACTAGACTCATTACTCAGATGCTGTTGTAGTGCGAATACCTTGTTTTCATGTGAAGCATAGTGCGTTAAAAATAGACATAAAAAAAGCAAACAGTAACCTAACGTGCTTACCATTACCTTTATAAACGTTCACTGTCAGCCATCTGAGCCATGTGTTTGCCGCTGCCTCAAATATTCTTGGTAAAATTAGTGATAAAAGTACTATGAGCATTCCAGCACGTGAAACATTTTTCGTAACTTGCGTTATATACTGATTTTCGCGTGAGGTTAAAATTTGCAAAGTCGTACACTGATATTATTGCAGCTAGGGTTTCCAGATACCTGTAGCAAATAATTATGAATAATGATCGAAAGTCCGACGACAGTTATCCTGGCTTGTTTTGTTCTGAACGTAGACATGATGCTGCCGATGACTAAGTTTTTTCATTAATAGAACAAAAAAGCAATATTCAGTGATTGTTTCATGGAACTAGTAGACGTATTTCTTTTTGTTTCAGTATTATTTTCCTCATCAAAAAGATCTTGACTATACGCTAAAAGATGATATAGCCCACACGAAGATTAATGCGAGAATTAACGTCATGTTGTCAGCTTTTTTTGTTAACTACAGCATTTGATGGATTACCGAACCAGTTTTCACTCATGTGGAAAATCACTTCTTCGATCCTGAGTAATCACACACTTAACCGAGTGGTGGCCCTGTTTTCAATGTTAACAATGAAACATTTTCAAATATTTGTTTACCAAGGTAAACTAGTAATTTTTATGGCACAGTTCGATTTCAGCTAATTCGAAGTCAACAAAAAACATATAAGTAAAGGACAATAGAAGATGTGGTTAAATGCCTGGATGACTAATTAATTAATTGGAGTTTTGGAATGCTTACCAAGAAAAACAGTCTTACTAGATACAAAAGGATAATTTCAATACCTATAATTAAAAACCTAAGTGAATAAAACTGGTGAAGAAAGCATCGACGAATCTTAATGATAGGAGTTGAATTTTCCCAATTTTGTCCAAGACGAAGGGGAAACGTATTTTGCTCAGTTTTGATCTAAATCTTGTGCGAATGTTGTGTTGCTTTAAATCTTGTGGATCAACGAGGAAACTTTTTCTCAGTCAGTCCCCAAAAGTCTCGTGTATGAAACAACCTCGTTTTAGTACGCTTAACGAATACATTTATAAACAATCACTTTTGAAAAACTTTGACTAAATTACCCCTTGCATGATTGATGAGTATATGATAAACACTGTACTGAATACGGGACTGTGAGTGTTATCTTGCCATATCACAATATGTAAATAGTTCCAAAGTATGATAGGAACAATGGTCTTTTATATGCAAGCAAACTGACTTCCCTTGATCATAACCGCGGTCGGTTATTGTGTAGTTACTTTGTTTCCGCAGCAACGTGATATGACGAAAGTGGGAGGTTAAACTCATGTAATTTCTTTTCTCGTTTCCTTCTGCGACAACCTGCTAACTTAATTGTGATCCTTTGCTGGTATTATGTTATGGCTAAAAGGTCAACCTTGTAAGCATTAAAAGAACAGAAGACACTGGTATTGAGCAAGGGAGCAAGCACCAAGTTATTAAGACCAATATACACTTATTACTATTGACACAAAATGGTGTTTACCCATCATAATTAACAAAATTAGTTAAATTAATTTTGAAGCACATTGTGTGAAACACACAAAGTTGTCTCTTTTTTTTCTTTCGGCGCCTGTTGTTCAGTACCTTGTTGTCTATTCATAAAAAAAATATAGCAGCTATCACGCAGAGAGGGATATTGCGTGGTGTTTTGCTGAAGCATGTTATCATCACGTTCCAATGTTTCGTGTTATCGAATCGAAAAGCGGCTTAAGGAAAATCACGCTAGAAAAAGACTAATATACATGACTTGCTCATCACGATAATGTTGNCGATTCCCCGTTCCCCGTTTTAAAGATAGCCAATTTTTAAGTGCCTTCTTCGATTTCCGGAATCCTCGCTGCTCTGATCTATCGACAAAATCTACCAAATTAGACTCACTACTTCATTTGCTGCAAAACAGATTTGCCTCTCGAGTTAGGTCACGAATTTATTAAGAAGACGGATCACTTACATCCCTAAATACAGGCGTTTCAAAAAACCCTTGTTACCTTGAAGGTCGTCAACCGAGTGCGCTTCTTTGAGCGGTCTGTTTGTCACAGTACGTTCCCAGTTCTACTTAAACTAATTTTTGTGGTTGTGGCGATCTTCCTGTGAAATCCTTTTTTGATTCCCATAGTCATTTGCTTTTTCCATGAGAAATCCATCGTGGATTGGAGAACATAAAGGAAGGATCTAATCTAAAAGCTTCAATTAACGTCGATGACCTTGTGGTCCCGAAGACGTCCACGGATAGCTAGATGATGCCCTATTTTGTTATCCCAGCCGAAAAGCGCACTTTCCGTCGTTGTTTACTTGATCATCCGTACAGTAAGATTAAATTAAACGTACTTGAAACGTTCAAAGTCTTACAAGACTTGTTTAAATTGAGGTTAGGCGACTTGGTGTTTGAGTGCCCTTTTAAAAGAGCTTTTTAAAAATGATTACTTCCCAAGCACTGCTGATCTTGAAAACTAAGTTTTGTTTTCCAGATGTGAGTGGAAAAGTAAATTATCCCTTTCGTTAGAGTTATGTCTCTGCTTAAAAGTTTCTTCAATGCATCGAATGCTTGTCAAAGTTGATAAACGGAAACAATGGTTTTCATGCGCTGAAATGCCAACAAATAATTCAAGATATGATGTTGGCTTGGTACGAGGAAGCATATAGCAATTTCACTCTAAGGGTTGCTTTGTTGCTATAAACGTCTTTTCAAGCAAGCGGCGCTTTAATAAGCTTGAATCAAACCTAACATCGAATCTCGCCCACATCTTGAAAGCATTTTTGTTCCACAGGTTTTATGGGTCTAGAAGTACCGTTATTACACTAGTACATTACGTACGTTTGAGTTATTCATTATACACCTACCTTACTCCCTTGTTGATTCTACTTTATCTTGATTTGCAGCGCTGAGTATTCGCTACGTGTCTAAGGAGTTCTCGAGCACTTATGACCCAACAATAGGTAAGATGGTCAGATTTGTGAAGTGTCAGTAGACCGCATAAACAGCCAGATAGATACGTGTGATGACATTTCAGATCGATCGATGCGCATTTCTGACTTCAATTATCGAGTTTTATAAACAAATAAAATTAGCACTTGAAAGAGTCCAGCAGAGTTTAATTTGTTTTCTTTTGTGCGCGAACGCAACTTGTGCGCTACACCTAGTGGTTCCTTTGTTTGCTGAAATTATTAGTAAAACTTGTGAAATGTTTTGTGGTCAGGTTGTATATTGAATTTGTATTTTCTACTTTTATTCGTTGGCAGTATTCATTGACATTTGAGTCAGTGTACTCGCATTCATATAGTCCCGACAAGAGAGCAGTTCTTTGTTACAAGTCACACTAGAACACTTCTGAAGCAGAAGTACTTGCATAGTTAAAAGAGGCGCACATCCTCGAGCTCAGCTTCTGCTGTTCGCTTTCTATAGAGTTGATGTGGCCTATTATTTAAGAAGCCATACTGAGAGATGCATGAAGTCAGAACTGCAGCAAGATCGTTATTTTTGCAAGTCTTGTTAAATCTTTGTTATACTTTCCATACAGTTTTCGCTACGTTATCGTTAAAACAGTGAAGATTCATGTAATCGGATCATGCATGTTGATATTAGTTCTGCGGTAGGGAAACAACGTATGTGATAATCTCAGTTGCCCTTTCAATCTCTGCTTTATTGTAAGTTGCAATTTTACTTAGAAATTAAAAAATGTTGGCTCTCTACCTTAAAAAATGTGTCCGCTTTCAGAAAGTTGTCTGTACCCACTTAGCTTACTTTGACGGGCGGGAACTGATCAATTAGTGACAGGAATTTTCTGACTATCATTTGTCTTTTCAAAAGAGGATAAACCGTCTGAAGGGAAATTAACGATGAAATTAAATCTTGTATACACAGTATGTTCTTGCTTGTTTTTTTGTTAACGTTTCTTTTTTCCTCGAACTACATACTCAGGAGTTTATATCAAAAGAAAAAACCTTTTTAAATTTTTTTAACAGCATCACGAGTCAGTTTGCTTGGAAATGTGATTTAAGGAAGGTGGCTTACTACAGTTTTGATGGAGTATCGGAGCCCAGTTTTTAACTCTTTTGAAAAATTTTTCAAGATGTTTTCCCTTCCCTAATTACTGTTGTACCATTGTATGGGAAACGCAACAAATAACCAAACTGAACAACCGAGTACCTAAGGAGAGAATGGGTACTAGTGGGTTTAATTATGTTTTTCTCAAAATCCACCCGTATGACCCCAATTCAAAATTTCAGGAATTAGGATTTGGTTATGATTAAACATTTATGCCAAGTAAAATAAAAATCTTTTTTTTTTTTTGTTGCAAACTAAGAAAATGTGAAATTTTGCCTACTTCAACAATAGCGCAAAATCTGTCTTACAGATGTTTTTTTAAAATTTCGGCCCTAAACGCGATTCACCCCTACAAATCAACTGTGCAAATATCATCATGGGTTGTACGGTGGGTTTTCGAGCAATCTTGGATCAAGGTTTCGCTTTTACAACCTTGGACGAGAATTAAATTGCGCATACTTTTCATTTAAGCGCCCGCTCATGGAACGCCATGCGTGAAAGCAAGATTAAATTGGAACTCTTTTACCAGTTGTTTATCGACCTGTTTCGGCATATTTTATTGTTCCTAGGCCTAAACACAAGTTTGTTTGAAAGCACTTTGAAACTAGCGCTACGTATACCAAAATGGTTTAACATTAATCAAGCGCTGAAGTTGTTTTCGTTTGTTCTTAGGATTACTTGCGTCCTTTTTGCACGCGCGATTAAACATGACGACTGGCAGGCGATCGTAACGCGCTGCTGAGTCTTGGTAAAACTGTAGTAAGCCACCTTAACGCACCGTGTTTGATGAATATTATTCAGTAGGCAACAAGTAATCTGAAACGTTTAACACGCGACGTGAGAAAGCTTGACTATTGTTGTTAGTATTTTAAATTTCCTAATGATCCAGTCAGAAAAAGTTTGACACAATAAAAATATTAGTTTTACTGGGTAGTTTAATGTGGTTTCCTGTGCTTTTTTTTACATTTTTGTTTTAATATGTGAGAACTGATTATACATTATCGTAAGCTTTATGGTAAGAAAGGGTCGTAGGTAAAATGGATATAAGCACTTCTGCAGGAACAAAGTCTCATCATTATCATTATCGCTACTGTTATTAAACCTTATACAAAAAGAAAGACACGTTATTGCTCATTTTCTTATCCAAACAACCGAATTAAGGAATGAGCAATATACCTTTAGTAGAGTGCAGTGTTCACTAATATTGAAACATCATGATCTCCGAGGTACTTTGCGTAACATTAATATAAACAGTTCTAAATTGAACAGAATCTAAAGTACATAACTGATGTTGAAACAACTTTGAGGTGCCTTAAATAACCTTTACTGAAAAAGAAAAGGTGTTCTTAAAATTGCTTTCCGAGACTTGGTAAGATCTTTAATTTCAATGTCTATTTTACCGCCTTCCAGATCTCTTTCAAATTTTACAGACAAACCGTGAAGCTAGTAACTGGAATTTGTCTTTGACACCGAACTTAAGTAATTTTAAAAACAATTTTTCACCTTAATGTCATCTTATTTCTAAAATGCTGTATTTTTGTCGTTATATTTTCAAGAGGACAACTACGAAACTGATATCGAAGTGGATGGGTGCCCGTTAAAAGTTGAATTAATCGACACGGCAGGAAATGTAAGTATGCAAAAAAGAAAGGCTCACTTAACACAATGGTCAAAAGAGTGTAGGAAGACGACCGTTCCTCCGTTTAAGCTTCCAAGTGATATTGCTGATACAACTAAGTAGATCTGCTGTTTTGTTGGCTGACAAGTGAAGCCCTTAGTTTATCATTAATTTGAAATTGATGGAGTAAATTAGTCATACTGATTAATATGCCCAGGATTCTCTCCCACGAAGGGCTAACGCTCAAAATATCAGCTGTTCAAATTTGATAAACGTGTTTGTAAATCAAACACGGTAATCTGTTGTTAAAATTAGTGAGAAGGGGTTCTGGAAGTACGACAAAACGTTCCTGACATGCAGTAGAAGTTGTTTTGATTGCAGTGTCTTGCACTGCAATTTATCTTGTCGGTTGAGAGCAACAATCGCATCCATGCAAAAATCTGTAACTTTTTTAACTTTGGAGCTCATTAGTTAAGAGCAGTCGCATGTAATGACGACATGAAAGTAACCGCCAAAAGGATATCGACTTGAGCAAGGTTTAGTACTTTTCTCTAAATAGTTCTCTACGTATTATTTTAAGGACGTGTTCCGGCGAATGAGGGATCAATACATTAAGAGTGGCGACGGATTTCTGTTGGTTTACTCCATCACAGACCACTCGAGCTCCCACTCAGTCACAGCTTTCCATGAACAAATCATCGCTGCTAGAGGAGAAAAAGACAAAATTATACCACAAATTCCCTTAGTCTTGGTTGGAAACAAGGTGAGGCTCAATATTTTTTTCTGTATGTTAGCTTGACCACTTGAACTCCCCGCAAAGCTTTCCATGATCAAATCGTCGCTGCTAGAGAACTGAAAAAGGGAAATTTTACCACAAATTCCCATAGTCTTGATTGGAAACACGGTGAGGCTTACTTTTTTTTTCTTGTATGTTTGCTTTTGTCTATCTGTTGTTGTTGTTGGTCGCTGTGATGGCGATCTTTCCTTTCGTTATCCCTTTCGAATGGAAGCGAGTAGAGAGTTTTTATGAAGGGTAGCTATTCTTTTTGTCTTCGCTTCAAATGAATTGTCCTTAACACTCAAAGGAGAACGTCAAATACAACCTGCGGTCTTTAACCTTTCGATTTCGGGTTGGAGGCCACCATTTTCGTAACTGGTTGTTCGAAAAACGTTAACGTGTCTACTGATGTGACGACCAGCTAATGTGAGAATCGTCTGCTGAATGGTAAAAATATTTACGCTGGAAATATTACCTTGCAAAAAATAATGAGGTAACAAATGAATCCTTGTGCCTCGAGGTAAATTTCGAAATCATGGCTGGGGTGGAGCTATATTTAATCCAGCGTTCATGTACTCCTACTTGAACATTTGCGCTGAACACACTGTATTATTTTTCTGTTGCCTTTTCATAGTGCGACTTAGAAGATGACCGTGAGGTTTCATATCTAGACGGAAAGAAAATCGCTGCCTCCTTTTCCTGTCCGTTTTTTGAGACTTCCGCTAAGAACGACATTGGTGTTGATGAAGTATTCATCAATCTTGCACGGCAAATGAAAGAAGCGAGAGCTGACTCGGTTCGAAAAGCCTTCATAAGGGAACGACGAAGATTCTCTCTACGAAATATGTCTTTAAGGGAGAGAAAGTGCAAGGAGAAACTGCAAGCTTTGAGGCCGAACGAAACGACGTCAAGTGTCCCTAGACGGAGACGGAGAAGTATGTTACGAGGGTTTATATGTGGAGCAGGAAATCTTGGTGCCACTGATATCTAGAGGACTTATATCCAGATACTTATCAAATATTGTAATTCGTGTCAAGACAAGGGAGTATGTGTTGACTTGGTACAGCTGTTACATGAACACTCAATAGATGCAAAAGATATGACAAGGTAAAATGTGATCCTTCTGCTGTCGGGAAACACGGACTGAAAAGAAGGGGAATTAAAATGCCAGGAACTAGAAAACAAACTTCTCTAAAATTGTCTGTTTCATGGTCCTTATGGATTCTAACAAATTGGCTCCTTAATAGCAAGCCTTGATGATGGTTCCTAAAGAATCCACACCATCTTCATTTTTTTGGTATAGGGTATAGGATTGTATACCACAAGACAAGAAGTAACTGTTGCTCGTACTAAAGGTTTGAAATCGGTTACTTCTGCTAAGGGCTCGTGTCGTGTTAGCCGATCAGGGGAAAAATACACTTAGAAGCTAATATCAACTATGTAAAGTTCACCAAAATGAAATTCAGCATAATGTATACGATTTCATCAATATATTTGTACTCGGCTTAAATATTATCTGTAAAAAAGAAGAAAATCATAAATTGTTCTTAAAAGACTCAGTTTTAAGTTGTAAAAGCAGTATGACTGTTATTGAGTTATTATTTGAACAAAAGCAGGCCAGAAAAAACTTGTATTGCATATTGTAATAGATTTTTTCAAAGCAAATATATATAAGCATGATATGAATTTAGCAAATTTTACTATCTACCATTACAAACACGTCTAGACCTATAGGACGCCACGTTTGACATCTTGAAACGGTGGCATGGACATGCAGATTCCTATGTGTGCATTAATTTTGAGAAAACGTGATAGTAATTATTTCACCTTCTACTCTGGTCTCTCATTTCTAAATCCTGAAAAGCGGGTTCTTTGTTTTTGTGGACCTTGAAGTTTGATGCTGCAATGATTGTGTATCGGAAGTCTCGTAAATGTAAATTCTGCTATCTCAGTTTCGATGGCAGGACCGGCAGAGAAACACGCTTGCGACCTCAGTGTAAGTTGGCACGTCCGATTCGACCTTGGTTCAAACTAGTCACAGATAGCGCCATTAGTTCCACTCGGTCGATAGCTTGGTTAGATCTAGTCTTATTCAGGAATCTACTGGTCATGCACTCTATAAAAATATTCATCTTACATGAAACTGGAAGAAGTCATTTGTGGCGTGCGTTCTCATTGAAGAGATCGTATGCAACTAACACTTGGACGTTATCTATGTTAACTTCATAGTATATAGTGAGTGTAAAGGCATTACGATTACTACGTGGCAACAGGCTCAGTAGGTCTTGCCGATATTTCCGATATTTTTTAATCTACACCTTCGACTTCGCTTTCTACACCCAGCGTCCCCTATTACGAGTCAGTTCCCGGTACATCAATTGCGGTAACCGTTTGATTTCTTTTCTTCTTTTTCTCCCGTGGATGTGAGTTGTGACCAGGACGGCAATTCCGACAAGAACTACTGAGAGCATTATCCACCCTCCAACCTGCAATAAATGAGATCAAGACACGAATATCTTTGTATATGAAGCGTATTGAAGCTTATTAACATGGGAACACTCGTGTTAATAAGTGATCAGAGGATCAGAGAAGTGATCAGAGTGATTCAGTGATCAGAGGGGTCAGATCACTGAATAAAAAGCCATTTTTGTTACTTTTTGATAATATGAGTCTGTCGCGCTTTTGGAAACAAACATCTTATGGAGATGGCTTGCATGGGTAAATTGATGAAAAAAAATTGCAATGTCGTAAGTAATCCACCCAGAACTGTCTGAGGCTTCCATAAGACTCCGTGAAATTTACTGCCCAACCGATTAACGTTAACTAAGTTTTAAAATATTAATTAACAATTGAAGGTTTTTTCTGTTGTTTATACACAACAACTTTGAAGCGAAATTTGAAGCTTTGTCATTCAGCTTATGCTAATATGCTCTTAGCTTAAAAGCTCTTGTCAGATCATAAGTGTGCGCTTGCATATTATTATTTCCCCACCGACTGATGATAATAAGCAAAGAAAGCCAAAAAACAGACGCAAAATAGAAAATATAAATAGGACTATCCTCGTTTGAAATGCCATTTGATGCGGTCTCTTCTTTGCGCTTTTGACATATATTCTGAGTTTCTACTGTATGGCTTTTTGTATGTACATTTTAACAAATTGATTCTTTGATGAAGAATTAGAGGAAATAACTTTAGGTTTTCAGTATTTTACCATGAAATGCTTTCTGAACTTCTATATACATAATTCAAATTCTGAAATCAATTCCGTATGAGTAATTCTACCGGTGAAATGCTTCAAACGCTCACCCTTTAAGTTATTTATTATATTCAGGAAAATCATTGGCGTTGTTGACGGTCTTATTCCTCTGCATTCGCCATATCAGTTTCAAACCAATTACTATTACGGTTATTATCCGACGATGAGCTGCAAATGATTATTTAATGGTTATTTGCGAAAATGACGTTTTGGATGAAATATTGAAAGCGTTGTTCGCCTCTTTCCTGTTTTGCTTGTAAATCTAAAATAGCTTTCAAAACTAAAACCAATGCCTTGAAATATGAGAATACTGTACTTATATATAAATAATTAGGATTCAGATGAGCAGTACCGCTATACGTACGTGCATTGTATTAACACTTACATTAAGATAAAAGTCGACCCATCGAGTTACGTATGTATCGCACGATTTTTCACCAACGTTTCCCGCAGAACAGCCGTCGATGGCAGAATTCTCGCTTCTGTGGGGATAACCAGATGAATTTGACGGGAAAATAGTGGTGAAATTCCTTGAGTAGGATACTACGCGAGATGGTTGAACCGAAGAATGAAGTCTACTTGCCCCTGGAAGAACCGTTATGGACGAGACGACATGTGAGGCCAAAGAATAGACATGCACACTTTGCTTCGTTGTCCGTGGTTGCTTTGAATTTTTTGATGAAGCAGTTGCACTTTCTAGGATGGTTATTTGCGCAGTTGGCACGTGAAACGTTGAATAAATTGCTTCTGTTGTAAAGCTTGCAGCTGCTGTTTCTGAAGCAATGTCCTCTCGGTGACCGTACATCTTCATAGAACTTTTTACTTGAACGTCTAATGACGTTTTAATCGTCGCAGACGATATAACTTGGATTTCTTTGGCTTGAATTAATCCTTGATGATGGCTTCCAAGATACCCAGCCAGCGACAATAACATATACAGAACATGACTCTTCGAAGAAAACATGATGGCGTGGTGCTGCTGAAAAAAATCGTTGGTTTACTTTAGTTCTGCATCTGGTCGATCGCCTACGCTTCTGAAGGGAGTAAAATTAATTCAGAGGTCAGTTACGATTCACATTACAGCTGTTTGCATCACTTCTGCAGCTTACTGTAGCAAAAAAAAAAATGTTTTTTGGTACTCGATTCTCGATTTGCATTTCGAAATATGTTTATAAATTCTTAAATAAACATTTCGTGATGTCCCGTAGACTGTCCTTCTATTGCAGCTGATATATCTCGTCCTTTTGATAAAACCATCAAAGTTCATTCGACACGCTGTCAAAATACCTTTAAAACTGTCTCTCTAATCTACTTGCGCATGGCAACACGCCAGGGGCCAGAAAAAATTAACAATATCTTGACTTACTGCTAACATTCAATATTAAAAACAACAATTAGACAACATGAATAATTGTACTCGGCAATCTGTGTTTTTAACACGATACTAACGTGATTTTGTATTCCGTTTGTAAAATAATCACATTAAATGGCGATGTTTATATTATTTTTAATGTAAACGCCATTTTGAACCAATGAGAGCACTTATTCGCCTGCATGAATTAAACGAGAACCTCTGATTTATTAATTATATGTGCGTTTCCTACCAACCGGATTTAATCAATAGCAACGAACTTCGGCAAACGTTTTTGTTTGGATTAATTTCTATCTTCAAGGATAAAAATGCTTTCATTGTCTCCCATTAATTTCAGACTGTGACTGATCTTAAAATAAGGAAAAACGAAAATGAAAAAAAGATATCAATAATAAATTTGCGATAGGTTGATGTTACTGTTCCTAAGCTTTGCTTTAATTCATATTGGCAGACCAACCTGGACTGTGGAGTATGCAGAACACAAAAACACTCAGCCCAAAAATCTTGGCTTGAAACGTGCCAGCGTAATCATTTAGATCATCCCGCAACGCCATAACCAAATTGTTTTTCACCCCTGCAAATTTCTATTTCAAAGGCTTGCTGTTCTGTGAAAGGGTGATTTTCAGTTTCCTGCGGTGGCGGAGCTCGGTGGGCAATTCTCAATGCTGTTGGTAATTCTTCAAAAGACAGGATGGACGACTTTCCAAAGTCGCGTACGTATGTAATAAATTCATTAGCAAACTAGCGAAGATGGCGTACTATTCTATGCCTCTTCCATGGCTTATCAGTTAAATGAAGTCCCATGCGTTCGAAGAGAGTCGTAATTTTTAATAGTTGCGATATCCTGTAAGCATAATCATTTAAAAACTTAAAATGGTGATTTCTGAAACTGATGTTAACAAAAGGATGTAATATGGCAAAGTCTCTTAATGCATGCGGAGCTCTCTGGGTGCCTCTTTTCATCTTGGACCGATTTGTAAATAAAATTATAATATTCATAAGTGTTAGAGCTTTTTAGTCTCTTACGGTCCCCAGTCTCTTTTCTGCTCGATGTGTTATACTCAGGGACATCTCTTGAGATCGGTTGTAAAGCGTGACCCGTCAGTGGTTAATTCTCAATACAGGCGAGACAAACGTTTCGAAAACTAAATCACGTATATTTCTGAGACTTTTACCACTGTAAGATGATGAGTTACTCATGTCAGAAATGTAAAAAAAAAAGGGGGGGGAGGTCACCGACTTCGTTTTGGAGAGAACATGCTCGGAAGAACACTCTAAATCTAAAAAAATCGGGCTCCGTTAGCGAATAAGGCCACAGTGTCTGTAAGCCCAAAAGTATTGCAATTAGATCTTTGAAGTGCAATGTTCTCTGCCAAATAATGTTTAAGTGGACCTATTGAGTGAATTTATATCAGTCAACTGGTGAGGTTCCTTAAAGAACAAGTTCGCATTTAGCGACCATAGTTTCACGCGCCTTGCAGCCGCAAGATGGCAGGATTCGATGTCCCGTGGACAGAAATCTTAAAATTTTTTTTTTTTTTTTTAACTTCCCACATCGATTTTTTGTTTATTTTTGGACAATGTGGAGAAAATTGTAAATAAAATCTCTTTCTGGAAAGAAAAGAATTGGTCACCGAACGTCCAAGGAGATCATTAAATCCAGGCAAAGCTATGGCATCTGCCCTATCATTGTTCATTTTATTACTTACCGCGCGCTCTCATGCATGACGTAGCGTGTGAATTTGCGTGCGCAGTAAGGATGCGCCGAAACAATTAGCGCGAACGTCCTTAAATAAAACAAAACAAAACAATGGACTAAAGTCATTGACTGAAAACGGAGAATTGCCAGTGGTCTGAAAATTAAGGTTGCTTCAAATCAATAATCTTCTCCTACAACGTGCATATCCTTGTATGTTTTGATCGACTTATAATTGACGAAGACTTCATGGCAGATATATACTTTTGAAACACTCAATATGTTAAAAAGGGTCGCTGGGAATAATGAGAATGACTTGGTACTAGAAAATTCGTTGTTTTAATGTATTATTGTTTGAATGTGGATCTTTTGTAGTGACAGCTTTGCTTGTTCACCTATTTGTGGCATGCAATGGGTCTGTAGTTTTTGACTATGTTTCGCAGCCGTTCAAAGTGGTCACAAGCTCAAGAATTCGCGCGTATTAAATTTCCCACTTCACGTTACCTGCCAGTGATTTCCCTTTGTAGAAAAGAATCCCTCATTTATTTTTCTTGATTCCTTGTAGGCGGTGAGTTTCGAAAGGTGCAGAGAGAATTCAGACGTGGTAAAGCGTTACATTTGGTAGTCGTTTTATCGTTAGTAGCTGTTACATATTTCGCCGAATTGCTTTGCGGTGCAGGTGAAAAGAGCAAGACAAGTGGATAGCCATACATCATGAAAAATTAATCGGCGACAGTTCAGAACGCGCTGCCCCATTCATATTCACATGGAATAAACAAATAACTTTGTGGTTCTTTTGTAGCCGAATCACAAAACGGCGATGTATTCTAGCATAGCAAATGGACACGAAATCAAACGTTAAGTAGCTTTCGAGGACAAGGAAACATGCAATGTGGACGACACGTTAAGGACCCAAGTCATGGCGGTTCATTTAAGGACCATCTTTTGGATTGTTACCGTGATTTCACTGATTTGCATCGTCTTTTACGGAATGAACAATTTGCCCACGACAGTTTACTGCCCCACTACAGAGCGCAAGTAAGTGATGAAGATCTCCCTTGACATTTCTTTGTCAGGAGACCATCATGTGTTGCCATCCGCGAAATTATGGCTGGCTTGATTCTATCAAAGAGATAAAAAATAATATTGATGATTTCTACAGGTGTCGATCTCGATTCCATCGTTCATTTCATCTAATTATTATCCGTCATTTTTTTAGAAGGCATACTCACGCCAGTTGGGCTTTAATTAAAAAAAATTCTATTTTTAGTCGCCTTGATAAAATAATGTATAAGTTGAATGTCTTAACTTGTAAGTGAGGAGTTCGTAAATGGAACTTCGCTCGCAAATTAAGTCTATCGCCGCCAAATGTTTAGAGATACTTTTGTTAATTGTTTCCTGTTTCCTGCATAGTCGATCTGAAAGTCGTAGGTAACAGCTACTTTCGATTTTGCAAAACTTCGCCTCATCTCTCCCTCTTTAACCTTTTTTACTACTGAAATTGTATAAGGACTGGAGATAATATTTTCTTGATTTTGTGTTCCCTCATGACCATGTGACGGTAGGAAAACATAGCAAATATTACTGGTGCTTACGGACATCTTTTTGATGGTAATAATTCCTCTAAAATAAATCGACTGTATTGGTAGAAACATAAGGACAGATATAACTTTTGAGTAACTGTTTGCAATTGAGTAACAACTTTCGACGCCGGACTCTTGTTCAAATTCTATTTTGTTTAAGCTATTTTTTAATTTATTTGTTTAAACAGGATCACATCCACAAGAAATATAGAGTCCGAAACAGTTGACATCTTGCCTGCGAAAGTAAGGAATGTGATTCTTAAAAATCAATACTTTGTAAATATCACATCAGAGCAAGAAAGTCTTCACACCATTAAGAAGCACAAGCAAGCTTACAAGCAAACTTGTTCCCCGATTAATCATGTCCTATTTCTAAAGACGCACAAAACAGGTGGTAGCACCATAACGAATATTCTCAACAGGTATGGAGACTCCAAGAATTTGACTTTCGTGCTCCCGAGAAATAAACAGCTTTTCACGTTTCTGTGGCCTGCAAGATTCCGTGTCTCCTACACTGCACCTTTGTACAACTTTGGAGCCAACATCTTGTGCAATCACGCCAGGTTCAACAAAAGACCAATGAATTATTTATTTCCGAAAGATCGTAGTAGATATATCACAATTCTAAGGGACCCCGTTGCCCAATACGAATCCGTGTTCAACTTCATGCATTTTGCCAAGCCGCTGGGGTTTAAAGACGAGGAAGACCCCTTGGGAACATTTTTGAAATTTCCACCACCTTTCCAAGAAATTAAGCCACTAATGAAGGCCACTTTAGCCCTCCATTTGGTGCGGAATCCCATGCTTTTTGACCTGGGCTTGGACTTTCGATATTTCCAAAATAAAACTGCTGTAGATCGCTACATAGAATTCTTAGACAATGAATTTGACCTAGTGATGATTTTAGAACATTTTGATGAATCACTTCTACTGTTGAAGCGACTGTTATGCTGGGAACTGAAAGACATTTTACATTTCAAGCTGAACGAGAGGCAAGATATTCAGAAACGGAAATTCATAAGTCAAGAAGTTAGAGAGGACATCAAGAGCTGGAACAAAGCGGATTTCATGCTTTATCAGCATTTCAATAGAACCTTCTGGAGAAAGATCAAAGCCCAGGGTCCAAGTTTTCAAAGGGAACTGAAGATTTTTAGACGTAAAAAGGAAGCCTTGACAAGAGCCTGTCTGCAAAAGGGAAATTTCCTGGACGAAGCATATACTGGTGTTTACGTGAAGGGTTACTCCCTCAAGAAAAACGTACCAAAAAAGAAGAGAGTAATGTGTCAGAGCATGATGAAAAATGAACTGTCATATGTGAAGTTCTTTAGAGAGAAAATGAGCAAGGAAGTTAGACACATCGAGGAACCAGAGGAGTATCTTGACGATCCTAGGAACGACTGGGAGGTAGCTAGTGACTTGGAGCACGATCCTATTCTGTCAGGAGAAGAGTCGTCCGCTGATTCGGCTCTGATTCTGCCAAGGCCAGCGTCCATTGAAGGAGTCACGAAAAATTAATATCGAAAGCACTACCGTTGTTGGAGAAAACGTATCAGCTGGGAGCAAAGTCCATTCTCCGAGGAGACCACAATTTCCAACGTCATTCATTGATGTTCTTAAGCAACATCATGTGTTCTCCTCGCGTAGGCGCCATACCCGTGTGCAAATTTTCGGTTCAGTCGATCTTTTGATTTGGAAAGACCTTGACAGTGCAGAAAAAAAAAAAAACAGAAGAAAAAAAACAGAAGGTCAGGAATAAGTCTTAGAAAGGTTCGCCATAATCGCGAGATTAAAGAAACTTTCTGCTCCTCTTAGCGAGTCCGTGTTTCTAAACATTCCTTTGTGAGATCAACAGGCTCAGTTTGATATTCGTTTCGTCTTTATAGGCCCTAATGTTCAGTTTTAGGAATTTTACAATGTAAAAAATATCATTTATTTGTTTATTCGTGTCTAATGGTCAAAATGCGGGGGGAAAGTGCATTTTACTAGTGGTAGGCACCATGATCCTTGCAGATGAACGTTTTTCGGTAAAAAAAAGTCTAAAAACTGACAAAGCTCCAAGAACTGCAATGATTTGCAACGAACGCAAACGACTCGTCGAGTATGTTTGATTCATTTGGCTGTGGACATGTTAGTTTTGTAGATTTTGCTTTTATTTGGTTGTCTAAAGAAAAAGCCTAATCAAAGCGGGGAATTTCAAAGGAACAAATTTGGCCAGAAGGGTTTAATTTTAACTAATTACTAGTGACTAACTAAGGATATAATTGACTGAATTGAAGTACGAGTGGTATAAAAAATGAAATGGAATATATTATTTNTAATGTATAAGTTGAATGTCTTAACTTGTAAGTGAGGAGTTCGTAAATGGAACTTCGCTCGCAAATTAAGTCTATCGCCGCCAAATGTTTAGAGATACTTTTGTTAATTGTTTCCTGTTTCCTGCATAGTCGATCTGAAAGTCGTAGGTAACAGCTACTTTCGATTTTGCAAAACTTCGCCTCATCTCTCCCTCTTTAACCTTTTTTACTACTGAAATTGTATAAGGACTGGAGATAATATTTTCTTGATTTTGTGTTCCCTCATGACCATGTGACGGTAGGAAAACATAGCAAATATTACTGGTGCTTACGGACATCTTTTTGATGGTAATAATTCCTCTAAAATAAATCGACTGTATTGGTAGAAACATAAGGACAGATATAACTTTTGAGTAACTGTTTGCAATTGAGTAACAACTTTCGACGCCGGACTCTTGTTCAAATTCTATTTTGTTTAAGCTATTTTTTAATTTATTTGTTTAAACAGGATCACATCCACAAGAAATATAGAGTCCGAAACAGTTGACATCTTGCCTGCGAAAGTAAGGAATGTGATTCTTAAAAATCAATACTTTGTAAATATCACATCAGAGCAAGAAAGTCTTCACACCATTAAGAAGCACAAGCAAGCTTACAAGCAAACTTGTTCCCCGATTAATCATGTCCTATTTCTAAAGACGCACAAAACAGGTGGTAGCACCATAACGAATATTCTCAACAGGTATGGAGACTCCAAGAATTTGACTTTCGTGCTCCCGAGAAATAAACAGCTTTTCACGTTTCTGTGGCCTGCAAGATTCCGTGTCTCCTACACTGCACCTTTGTACAACTTTGGAGCCAACATCTTGTGCAATCACGCCAGGTTCAACAAAAGACCAATGAATTATTTATTTCCGAAAGATCGTAGTAGATATATCACAATTCTAAGGGACCCCGTTGCCCAATACGAATCCGTGTTCAACTTCATGCATTTTGCCAAGCCGCTGGGGTTTAAAGACGAGGAAGACCCCTTGGGAACATTTTTGAAATTTCCACCACCTTTCCAAGAAATTAAGCCACTAATGAAGGCCACTTTAGCCCTCCATTTGGTGCGGAATCCCATGCTTTTTGACCTGGGCTTGGACTTTCGATATTTCCAAAATAAAACTGCTGTAGATCGCTACATAGAATTCTTAGACAATGAATTTGACCTAGTGATGATTTTAGAACATTTTGATGAATCACTTCTACTGTTGAAGCGACTGTTATGCTGGGAACTGAAAGACATTTTACATTTCAAGCTGAACGAGAGGCAAGATATTCAGAAACGGAAATTCATAAGTCAAGAAGTTAGAGAGGACATCAAGAGCTGGAACAAAGCGGATTTCATGCTTTATCAGCATTTCAATAGAACCTTCTGGAGAAAGATCAAAGCCCAGGGTCCAAGTTTTCAAAGGGAACTGAAGATTTTTAGACGTAAAAAGGAAGCCTTGACAAGAGCCTGTCTGCAAAAGGGAAATTTCCTGGACGAAGCATATACTGGTGTTTACGTGAAGGGTTACTCCCTCAAGAAAAACGTACCAAAAAAGAAGAGAGTAATGTGTCAGAGCATGATGAAAAATGAACTGTCATATGTGAAGTTCTTTAGAGAGAAAATGAGCAAGGAAGTTAGACACATCGAGGAACCAGAGGAGTATCTTGACGATCCTAGGAACGACTGGGAGGTAGCTAGTGACTTGGAGCACGATCCTATTCTGTCAGGAGAAGAGTCGTCCGCTGATTCGGCTCTGATTCTGCCAAGGCCAGCGTCCATTGAAGGAGTCACGAAAAATTAATATCGAAAGCACTACCGTTGTTGGAGAAAACGTATCAGCTGGGAGCAAAGTCCATTCTCCGAGGAGACCACAATTTCCAACGTCATTCATTGATGTTCTTAAGCAACATCATGTGTTCTCCTCGCGTAGGCGCCATACCCGTGTGCAAATTTTCGGTTCAGTCGATCTTTTGATTTGGAAAGACCTTGACAGTGCAGAAAAAAAAAAAAACAGAAGAAAAAAAACAGAAGGTCAGGAATAAGTCTTAGAAAGGTTCGCCATAATCGCGAGATTAAAGAAACTTTCTGCTCCTCTTAGCGAGTCCGTGTTTCTAAACATTCCTTTGTGAGATCAACAGGCTCAGTTTGATATTCGTTTCGTCTTTATAGGCCCTAATGTTCAGTTTTAGGAATTTTACAATGTAAAAAATATCATTTATTTGTTTATTCGTGTCTAATGGTCAAAATGCGGGGGGAAAGTGCATTTTACTAGTGGTAGGCACCATGATCCTTGCAGATGAACGTTTTTCGGTAAAAAAAAGTCTAAAAACTGACAAAGCTCCAAGAACTGCAATGATTTGCAACGAACGCAAACGACTCGTCGAGTATGTTTGATTCATTTGGCTGTGGACATGTTAGTTTTGTAGATTTTGCTTTTATTTGGTTGTCTAAAGAAAAAGCCTAATCAAAGCGGGGAATTTCAAAGGAACAAATTTGGCCAGAAGGGTTTAATTTTAACTAATTACTAGTAACTAACTAAGGATATAATTGACTGAATTGAAGTACGAGTGGTATAAAAAATGAAATGGAATATATTATTTCGAATATAGTTCCGAACATGTCGTTGATACTTCTTAAATTACGTCTTAAATTAAACACTGACGCCACTTCATGGCTAATTGACCTATATCTGGCAATGCATCTATTTCTAGATATAGATAGTACAGGCATTCCTTGTCTGGAGTGATTTCACAGACCCTGTTCATAAATGGTGGCCTATTAAAAATTCTTTTGTAAGTGTGAAAATTAGCCCAACTAACCTCGTTTTTGATTTGATAAGTCAAAAGAATTTTTACTCTCAAACAAGGTTAGTTGGGCTAATTTAAATGCATATAAAAGAATTCTAAATTGGCAACCATTTATGAAGAGAGTCTATTGAAATGCACAATATGGCTTTTCTGCTTTAAATTACAGACCCTCGGTTTCGATACGGAAAAAAGTGCCGAGCGATAAAAGGAGGCTGTATTAGCAGGTTACAGAGGGTTAACAGCTGGAGTCTGGAGGGTCCAAAAAAAAAAATTGGCGGACAAATTTAAAATAAATTTTCAGGGTATAGGTGGTTAAGAATTCAATGATTCCGTCTTATGGGAACACTTCGGTAACGGTCCGAGAGGCTAATGTTCAGTTACTCCATTTCTGTTCTGTAGCTATTTATTCTATACATCTATGCAACTGTCGGTAAATGAGTAAATAAATTTAAATTAAGGATGATTGAATTGTCTACAAGAAAATAAAATTTCTCAAGAATAAAAACAGTAATATTAAAAAAAAGAAAAATGAAATGACAAATATATAGTTCTTTCAAAATGCGACATCGGATTTTGGCGCGTTTAAACGCTTCACCTGAAAAGTTCTTGAAAGTAGAAGTCTGAGTGTTTTTTTTTTTCCCCGTCTTCTTCCGCGCGCACGATATTAGGTTTTATGAGTATACAAGGCGTTCGAACTCGCTTTATAATATTTTATTTCAATCTGAGTCACGTTCAGACCTAAAATCAATACAAATTGAGGGACAGTGTTTTTGCTCGTTGAGATTCGTAATGTGTCTTTTTTTCAGATTAAATCGCCATTAGCACGTTTTTGATGTTTGGTTTTCAGAAAACTTGCGATCTCTGCCACGTCGATAAGCTTTTTAAGGTTTTTCCACTTTTTCCGCTTTGCTAAACACCAGTTTGGTCACACGAATCTGGCCAATTTCGACTTTGTGAGAGCTTCAACCCACAGAATACGTGACAGTTGTCTTCTCCTTGGACGACGCATGTTCTTCATCCCTAGGTAGTGCGTGACGCCTAGAGCTGTGATTCCCGCCAAAACGATGCCCAGCATTAACCAGCCACCAATCTGCGAGGCAATCAAAAACTTAGCGTTAGTATTAGGGATATGATTCCCCCCAAACTTAAGCTTGTATTGCTAAATTTGGAACATAATGGCAAACCCTTTTGGGGTGCTTTACGGGCAAATCTGGAACAGAATTTTAATTAAACAATAAGTGTAATAGAAATATTTACCAGCAACGCCGGTAGGCATAGCTGATCGAGTTAAGACCATCAGCTGATTCATCAAATGTGAGGCCCCGGCCACACTACGCTGGAGGAATCTGAAAACGGAGGTTTCACTCTGAAAACCGTTCAAATTTTTTTCGTTCACATTACGCCGGAGGAATTTCGAAATCACATGATTATCGTGACTATGTCCATTGTACACTGTTTTCGAAAAGCCCCGTTTTCAAAATGTTTCCCTTCCACACAAAAGCGAAAAGCAGGCGTTTTCAAATTCCTCCAGTTTGAAGAGCGTTTTCGAAGAGCTCCGTTTTCGTGACGGATTAGAGTGGACGGTAGGCCTAACCATAGAAATAAAGCGGCGTTTTCAAATTTCTCCGGCGTAGTGTTGACGCTGCCTAAGTCAAAACACATAAAAAAAATACACGAAAGACAAAACAGCGACAATAACAAAAAGAAGGCCCCAAAAGCAAAACAAAAGAAAAAAGCAGCGTTGCAACAACAAAATGAAAACACGAAATACAGAGAAAAGAAACAAATAAACAGGCAATTCGAAAGAGAACATCACCCGGATTTCATACTTTTTTTAAACCAAAGNATCTGCGAGGCAATCAAAAACTTAGCGTTAGTATTAGGGATATGATTCCCCCCAAACTTAAGCTTGTATTGCTAAATTTGGAACATAATGGCAAACCCTTTTGGGGTGCTTTACGGGCAAATCTGGAACAGAATTTTAATTAAACAATAAGTGTAATAGAAATATTTACCAGCAACGCCGGTAGGCATAGCTGATCGAGTTAAGACCATCAGCTGATTCATCAAATGTGAGGCCCCGGCCACACTACGCTGGAGGAATCTGAAAACGGAGGTTTCACTCTGAAAACCGGTCAAATTTTTTTCGTTCACATTACGCCGGAGGAATTTCGAAATCACATGATTACCGTGACTATGTCCATTGTACACTGTTTTCGAAAAGCCCCGTTTTCAAAATGTTTCCCTTCTACACAAAAGCGAAAAGCAGGCCTTTTCAAATTCCTCCAGTTTGAAGAGCGTTTTCGAAGAGCTGCGTTTTCGTGACGGATTAGTGTGGACAGTAGGCCTAACCATAGAAATAAAGCGGCGTTTTCAAATTTCTCCGGCGTAGTGTCGACGCTGCCTAAATCAAAACACATAAAAAAAATACACGAAAGACAAAACAGCGACAATAAAAAAAGAAGGCCCCAAAAGCAAAAGAAAAGAAAAAAGCAGCGTTGCAACAACAGAATGAAAACACGAAATACAGAAAAAAGAAACAAATAAACAGGCAATTCGAAAGAGAACATCACCCGGATTTCATACTTTTTTTAAACCAAAGTTGTAAGTTTGGATTGATTCTATATGTATTCAAAGCGAGATGTTGATTTAGCGAGGGAGATGAAAGTTTATGCTCATCCAATTACTTAACCGAGGAAACAAATTGTTATAAAACAATGTTAATTTAAATCTTCACGAGACATTGTTTTTGTGCAGGAGGTACTTCCCCTCATGCTGTTGTTGACAATATTAGAAAAACAAAAACACCATCAAGAAATTCGAAACCAGCAAAGAAGGTACCCAAGTGAAATAATATATATAAATAAGGATCATGGTCCATTTTAAGAAAAGAAAAATGTCCTCATAAAATGCACACTTCTAATGGAATAAATCAAGTTAGAAAAACCGTACAAATTACATATGGTTCGGTACGGTAAGAAACGAGTTTCGTTTGCAAGATAATGCCCCTTTCTCAAAACATTTCTAAAGTACGTAAAAGCGATCTATAAAGCAATCGTATATCTGACTATATTTCGCTTCAGAAAGAAATCAATTAATTCAAAAACACGCATGTAAAACATGGATGTAATTACTCAGGCCCACAAAAATCGATTTATTAAAATCCAATATTCCAATTTTTTCTTCCCCGTAAACGCGGCGATAAATTTGCCAATTTTGAAGCTTTAAACCGTATATTCTCCTATTCAGAGTAGCCAACCTTTACAAGCTTATTACCATATAACGAAATTATAAACATGCTAGATTTAATTGTCCTCGAGAAACCTCCTTCGTATTAAACAACAGTTCAAGGCAGGCTGTTAATTTCATGACATACCAGGCTTTCTCATAACCACACAATCAAGTTTAATAATATTCTTCATACCTACCTTAAGATAAAATGAGGAATATTTATCGACATATCTTGGACAGTCTTCTTGTCGTTCACGGGAGCATCCATGTTTCTTCAAGTACGTGTCGTTCGCATTTCTGCGATTTTCCACCGCAATTGATGGACACATTACTGTCGCACTAGAGGATGTTTGCGAAATCTCCAATGTGCTGAAATTCTGTTTCCTTTGGCGGGTGGTAGTAACAGCGTCAGTCAAGTTTTTGGATAAAATTTCCGCACATTTTGTGGCTTGAGGTGACGAAGTTGTGGAAGGAGTCGAAGAGAACAGGGTAACGAGTTGACTTAAAACGATTAAAATCAGTATTTCAAGATGATTTTGTTTGAGTCTAGCTCGTATGGATGCCATTAAAAGAAAACTCTTAGCGTTTCTTGTTCACCAAGGACATGAAGAAAAACAACTTTCAACGCCGATCCCAAACAAGTGTGTGACAGCTGGCAGCTTCCTCTGCCTCAAAAGCCGACCCTCAAATTGAACCCTTTTCAAAACACCTTTCTCGAAGCTCAGTTTTTCGAAATGTTACCGAGTGCTCGACGCTTAAGACACCTGAGGCAGTTGTGTTTCCGGATATTTCCAAATTCGAATATTCATATGCCAACTAGATATTTACATTTGTGCGACATTGGATAATGAATGAGTACATCTGGGGATTCAGAGATAAGCGATTTGACGAAGATCCTGTCATTTTGAATTTGGCGTGAACATCAGATTTGAATAGGAGTGGCTAAGACGAAATGAACAATTAAAAAAGATGTGAGAATCTGACTGACGGCATGAAAGCACTATTGTGTTCGTACATGTTGCTTTTAACATACTGGAAATACTGACTAGCTAGGTTCCGGTAAAGCTCTTTGACGATTCTAACGACAACGCAGCCGTAAGCACATTATGCAAAAAGATTCTTCTAACTTTCTATTTTCGGTACAAACAGCGCAGCTTTCATTTCAACACCTTGATATTACGTGTACTACAGTCTACAGATTGATTTTATTATAGCTTTGAAAAAGTCCGCGGGCGTTTAGTTGAAAATACGTACTTATGGAGATTAAAATCGAGTAATAAAGTCAAAATATATAAAACCTATTTCTCATGGCCATGCTAAAAAGCGGATTCATCGTCAATAATTACTTTAAAAAGGATTCACCAGAATTTGTGAACAAGATCTACCCCATTCACGTTTTAATCTACATGACGTTTAAATCTCCCACTACTGTTTTCACGAAGTTTCGATTTCGCCAAAAGCTAGCTTTCAATATCGTGCGGTTAAAATTTCACGGAAATGAAAATTCTTGACATTCATAACTATAATTGATTAATTGGAAACAACCCGGTTAATTCGATTTTCGGAAAGTTTTACTCAATTTGATGGTAAGGTTATTTTGTAGGTTTACAGGGCTTAAAAGTTATAGATTCAAAGAGTTGCGGCGACCGTTAAAAGCCCTCCGGCACCACTCCTCTCGGTGTGAATTTGGTAACACAGATTATCCATTTTCCGTGTCTTCGTGCCTCATGGCTTCAGGTGAGTAATTTGGGGCTAGCTGTGTCATGCTTAAAACTAGTCGGTTCTTGACGGTATGTTTAACTCAAAACCTGTTTTAAGTTTTCATAATTTAGCCAAGATAGTCCGCAAAAGTGAAGAGGGCCAGGGCATCCACTCGAGTTTGGAAACTGGTAACTAAAGATTTCACGAACAGATCAATTACAAAAATAACAATTTTCTATAATTTTATAAAACGAAAATTAAGCACGAAGTACGATTGACATGCGTAAAGAGCGTGGAATAACTTCTTCAAATTGACACACTGGCGAACGATTTGTAATTTTGTTTTATTAAGAGTCTGTTGCATTGCGCACTCTATCCTAAGAAGCGTGAATTTATCAGGCAATCTTTTTGAAGTAATATTAAAGAACTAATGCTAATATTACAGAGAAGTTCAAACCTAACGCATATTGAGCAGTTTATATTACTCATTTGACACTGACATGCCATATTTTTCATATTATATTGAAAAAATATATTTCTATTTTTTGAAGTTAATTTTGCTTGTTTCACTTAATTAAATAGCGCTATAGCTTCGACCTATCTAAATAAATATCTTCTATAAAAACTAATCTTCATCTCTCCTCTTCTTTTTCAAGCTTCAGTGCATTGTTTCTACAAGTATCGTCTTTTACAAAATCACCTTCAAGTTTCTTTGTCGCAACTCTAAATTATCATGCTTTGGCCCATTGTAAAGTACAGAACAAATTCTGAATTAGTTTAGCGTCGCTACTGAAAATGCAGCCAGCAATATAATTATGTCTTTGCTAGTATCAAATTCCAATTCATATAGTGAGTGTTTCAGCGAATAAAAAGCTCTTTTTATATGCTCGTTTAAAAAAGCGGAGAAATATCTGTAGACTAAATTAAACTTTCCTCTGTTATGACAAAGTTTTAATCCTATCTATTTTTCACATGCACCATGTTTTCTTCACTCTTTGTAGCTCTGTACCTAATCTCTACAGTGAAATGAAGATTCGTGCACTGCGTCTTGCTCTGCCTCGTGTTACCAATAGTTGATGACAAAAGCACGTAACATTACCTAAATGTATATATTATTTCAAGTCTACCAATTTAAAGTAGAAAATAACTGAGACAGTAACCCACCACAAAGGAAGAACAGGCTTAAGATTAAGACGATAACAAACCACAAACTCGGATTAGTCATGCTCGATTTTTCAACATGAGCCATCCATGGAGGAAGTTTGTTATCATATTTAAAATCCCTTTTCCATGATCATTCTTCAGATATAATCTAGATAATCATTTTGTTCTTAATTCCAACACGTCAGCTGCCGCCATGTTGTTCAATATGGCAGATTTTACGTGTACATGTAGATAAACAGTCGTATTTCAAGAAAAAGTAAACTCGTCACAGTTGCGTTGCACAACGAAGCAAACTCCACACAGCTAACTCGCTGTCATCTGACATTGACCTCTCATTCACACCCGTGGGGCACTTCTATCGTTTGTCTTGGTTGGTTTAAGCCTAGCGCCTTTTTGAATCTGACTCAACAGTGCTCCTCGACCAGCACTGTTGGGCGGTTTCGGCGGAAGAGGTTTGGATACCGATGCACGTTTTGTCCGCGGAGGTGGCGGGGCTTCCTTGGGGAGAGGGGGTGGATATTTGGGAGGAGGGGCGGCTGCCACGGGGTGGAACTGAACTACTGGAAGAACAGTTTTGTCCACTGACAATCGTTTTCCTTTTGATCTAAGGACAAAAATAGGAAAAAAATGACACAAATGTAACCTGCATGCAAGGCACGATTTATCTCTAAACCATACTGTATCTAAAACTCCACTACGCTATTAACTCTTTATTCTCATTTTGTAGTAACGTACAGCTTGATATCCTTCATTTAAGGGCCACATAACAAAGTTTCATCAAAGTTTTAACCACCTTGTACAGCATTAAGAGATCTGCCCACAAGTGTTTCAGTCTAGGTAATCACTCACTGGGGTTTCATTTTAAAGACTTCAAAAGTTACCAATACCTTTTTACAGAATGCTAAAAACAGTATCACATTAAATTACTGACAACTCAAAAAAGGTTTTAATGAAAGGGTTACACGTTAGCAAAAACGTTATTTTTGTTACTTAAAAAATAGACGTTGTCAAATTATGGCATTTTTATGCCAGTGTACGAATACAGTAATGTACACAAATCCGATTGTCCTTCCGAATTTGTGTCAACCCTTGCCTTCACCCAACCAACTACAGAACTTACTTCGATTGACTTCCCTCTCTTGTAGGTACTGTACCATCATCAGATGTCGATTTCTTTGTGGACATTTTCCGTTTCCTTTTGATCGGAAAGTTAAAGCGAAATTACAAGAGGAATAACAAAAACGAAAGCAGAAATATTGTTATTGGAAATGACGCGGATGTTTCAATTAAAAGTTTGCACATTAATTTTACTAAGAGAACCCCCATTTTCACCGTGTGTAATGTTTAATTTCAGGACACGAATGGAGATAATCGCAACACCATTAACGTTGAAGACTTCTGCTTCAATACATGGGCGTTGTTCATTTACCTCTGTCCTTCTTCGCCATCTTTCCTTCATAGTTTGAGGAGCTGCTTCACATTTGAACTAAAACGAACCTGAAAAAATAAACAAGAGAAAATGTTGAATGATGTCGTAAAGAGAAAAAAGAGCAAAAGGTTTTTATACTTACGGGACCAGGGTTAAATTTCTTTAATCCGCGGACGTCACCGCCTCTGAAGAATGGATGAGCAACGAGCTGAAATCAAGACAAATGAGAAACGTTTTCGCTCCCCGTGATAAGAAATCTTCTAACTTTCAGTATTGGATTTGCATAACATCTAACAACAACCAAGAACGTCCTGCTTACTACCATTCAACTGCATGTCGTTAACTAAGGTTTCATCCCGGCACAAACTTGAAGGTTGACATCACACATGTACAGGACAATTAAAAAATCATTGCAATGGTTAGAGAGTACGTTTAGCTTCATTTAGACTGTTAAAGGAAGTGCCACTAACCCCCAAAATTTTTTTTCGCTAATATAAATTTCCTTTTTCTTCTGATCACCACTGCGAAAAAATTATCGTTGTAGCTATTTTCGTTAATTTTCTATGAATTTTTAAAGTTTGTAAATTTGCCCTTTTCCATGTTCACGACCGAGGAATAGCGGAGAATGGGCCGAGTTGGCTTTCAACGTCACTTCGGGAATAACAATATTTTGTTTCATTTTCATTTTATTTACTTATTCCATTCTAAAATTACAAAGATAAATATAAAGTAAACAAGTAAGAGGAGAAATGGAAAAGGGCAAAAATGTAGCAAGCTAATTAGATGCCCTTGTTTAATTGACAATAATAATTAGGGTAAAAAAGTTAACTTAACACAGGAGAGGAAGAGGTATGAATTAATTAATACTGAGCAAAATTATACTGGAAGAGTGCTTTTTTTAAAACGTTTTCTAGTCGCTAAGTTACGTATAGATAAAGGAARGTCATTCCAATAGTAACATCCAATAACAGKGGGGCAAAATTTCCTTAYATTTATTCTGGAGAAACCGGGATTTAAGTGTTGTAGGGATGCACTTCGAGTAACGTAGTTATGTTGCTCAGATACCAGAGATAAGGTGTAATTAGACGGTTTTTCATCAATTAAGTGGTCATATAACATTCATTAATGGTCATATAATAAGATTTTCACATCTTACATGTACGTTATAAAAGACCGCGATGTAATGATTACCATCTACAATACACATTTTTTGGTATTTGACCATATCAGTGAAGTCCAGAGACCACGCAAAATAATTGTCTCACTATACTATACTACGCCGTAGTGCTGCAGTTTGGGGCTAAAAAAAATAAGGTGATAATAATTCACTCATTTCATGATTTAACATTTAACTAATTTCTTGCATGAGAAATCCATCCATCCATCGACTAAATGTGTGAACAATGAACAACTTCTGCGTTTCTTTCCTCTGCTTTTAGAAGAAACGCAGCGTAGAGATATACATACTAGTTATTCAACGCTTTCTCGTGCTATACCATGGAATATCCCACTTGTCACTTGTATTTTCTGGTATACACACTCACCTTCAACTATTTTATATCATGCCATAGAAAATACAGTGGCCAACAAAATCAGTTCCACATACGAGCAGCACACGATGGGAAGGTTGAGTGTAATACCGTCGAGTATACAACGACTTTCCTGTATTCTGATTGACTGTATTTTCTATGGTGACATAGTATAAATTAAGATACTCTACAAACCTCTACGACTGGTGCATTTCTGAGTTTCGTCAGCTGTTCTCTCTTTGGTTCTGACGTGGTTAACTCCCAGCCTGCTAACATCTCATACAAAAGGTGACCTGGACAATAACGGTAATGATAAACTGAAACTGAGCTTGTTTCTGATAAAGACAGTCCTTTCCTTAGCTGTTCAATGGATGACTATTAAGTGTAACTGTACATGTACCCACATGTAGTACACAATTGCACAGTGGGCTATAAATCTCCTAGAAAGTCTAAAACACATACTCCCGCAAGCTAGTTGAAAAAAATATATATACAAGGCCTCTCATCAGATCTTGAGTGTAAAGCGTGTCGGCTGTCCCTTCGTCTGACCCTTCNCCCCCCCCCTAACCCGATCGGGAAGTTTGGAGTTTTGCCCAATTGTAACTAGGTTTGCCGTAAATGTAACTAAGCTTCCCACGTCCTTGAAAGAAATGATGGTACTTACATGTATATATCGAGATTATTTTTATATCGCTGTGGACTTGAAGACAACCTTTTGCTAACGTCTATAATAAATGTCTTTGCTGATAAATTAGGGGCGGTTTTTTTTTACCTTAACAGGCTATTGGGTAGTAAATGTACTTTGCCAGTCTTCCCTACTCAAAACTGATATTTTCAGATGAATCCAGAGGCATGCTTGCCCAGGAAGCCTCTTCTGATCATGACGTTCATAGAAACATTTATAAATGCATATTATGTAAGTTACAAACTTCAGTCTGTTTTTCTGTGGGCTGAAATTGGTATTTATACCAACAGTTTTATACCAATTGGTATTTACACAGATAATTTGTACCAATTGGTATTTATACCAATTTCAGTCCACAGAAAAACAAACTGAAGTTTGTAACTTAAATGTACATAATATGCAGTGCAATCTTACCAAACTGAATAACTTCCATATCATCTTGCTTGTCTTTTAAAAGCCTCTTTATGGTAGGATAGAGTCTTGATTTCCAACCAAACAGAGAGTTTTCAAAGCCAGACAGTCTACAAAGAACAATAATTTTAAACACATTACACCTGCAGCTATTAGGCAAAATTTACAATATAAATGTACGTATACTTTGCACTGTGGGATGTAGCCTCTTTAAAAGGTTAAAAAAATTAAATTTAAAGTTATTTTAAAGGCCTTTTGTACTGTATGTGTACTTCTAAACTGTTTTTGTTTTCCTTGATAAAGCTCAATGTTTTCAATGAGATCAGATGTACAGTATAATACAAACTTCTAAATGGATGTGTTGTCTTTTGACAGAAGCTTTTCACTTTGTTGAGGTGAAAAGGTTCTGCTTTTGATAAATTATACATATCTAACATGGCTATATTTAAGGAAATCAAAACTTCAAGAACAAAATCTTGTTGACTTACTTGGCATTTCCATTAATTATAAAAATGTTTCCAGAATGTAAGTGACCACAAGCTGGAAGGCCCTTTTCCCTCAGATAGAGCAATGCCTGCCAGTAGGTAATCATAAATTGACAGCTATTTAGAAGTTTGTTTCAGGTTTGCAAGAACATTCCACAACAACAATACTATAAATTATTATTAAACACTATGAGCATACATGTAACTAGCTCGCAATTGAGCAAACGGATTGATGAATGATAATTGCACACATGGCATTACACTCAACAAATGAACAAGTGAACAAACTATTAAACAAATTTATTTATTTTGTACACCTAGTTCAGGTCATGCAACAGATCAATAAAATCACCCCTCCATGAACACCATTAGGCAAG